GGCGTATCAAGTGCTCGGTGTAAACTAAGCCTTTGAGTTATAACATGTGGATGGGGGGACCCCTATTTAATCTCGGTAAAGACAATTAAAAAAAAAGATCATTATTTGAAATGCTTTCTCTTATCTTGCTCTCCCAACATTTTTCCAAGTCGACGCCGCTGCATTTTTATATCTTCCGATCGTTATTCAACGTCGTATTAGCTGTGCCAATTAAGAAGCAATTACCCATTGACCGTATGTGTCGACATATACATTGCTTGGACAGAAAGCGACATTTTATTACGTAATAACTAAATATCTATAGAGTACGTATGTGTGTACACACGCGATTAATGTCTTATCACATGAAGTTACGCATATATTCGAATATGTATGCATTTCCTGTATATAACAACATACGATAAACATCTAAATTTAAGTTAAATCTTTAAAAGAATCACGTGAACTTTTATATTTAATGTAATATATTTAACGTAATATATGGTTAATGTATTATGTGTAGTTTATATATAAACACGTATATAAAGTATATTAAATTATAAAATTAATATATTAAATAATATACATATATTAAGCATAATCTTTAATATAATTGTGTACAGATTATACATACCTATATTATCTTTATATATTATTTTTATATATTTAAAAGTATTATACGTGTTTATGTTATATAATTATTATAATTATATTATGTATAATGCAACAGAGTTATAATTGGAAGTAGGATAAACATGTTTGTGTTATATAAATTTATGTAATTGAATATACAGGAAATATAATTTCCTCTCGATTAATGAGTCAACTTAAATAAGACGCTATATTTTCTGTCGCAAAGTTCAAACTGAGCATTTTATTGATCAAAATGTTGGTATGCTAAATTTTTCCTTTATGTAAATTTTATGTACAATCGCAGACATGTATTGTGCACATATATTTGTGTATACATTTTATATAGATGCAATGCACGCATCGTCCAAATTAAGATTTAATAAAGGAATTACTAGTTTAATAAAGGAATTACTAGTAAATACATGTATCAAGTGTTTGATATAAACTAACTATAAGTCTTTATTATTATATTAAATTCTTAGATCTGTTTTTAACTGAATTTTTGCATTTTTTCAATTTTTTCTTTTCTAATATTTGTACGCCTTTTTTATTTTAAATTCGAAAAATGCAACATATAATGAATTTATAAAGAACAGGCCTCTTGTATTAAATAAAAAATACGAAAGTATACATTCGTACTTGATTTAATCGCTTCACAACATGAACGTAAAATAATTTTGCACTTGTGATCTAATCATTCAGTTACCAGTTGCGAAAAAATCAGCTCTTATAAAAAGAATAACTTGTTCCCAAGTTATTACAATAGCGTGTCTCAAGGATTATAGATTCGAAGATTCTGTCCGGTTTCTGCAATCAATTTGCCGTCATATTCTATAAATAATTCTATTATACTCATTTTTACTGATATTCTATCGACAATATTTGATGAAACAAATATTTGAAAAAATATTTTCGACAAATTTAATTAATTATTCGACTATTCGAATATTAGCATTCAGTATTGTTTTAACATTGAATGGTGGTAACATAAGTTTTCCATTTTAAAGACGCAGAAAAAAAACGTAATATTTTTATTTCAAGCGCGAAATCCAGATAGCCATCTAAATGTGCAATAAAACGAATGCCACATGTGTGTAAATAGGAGTTGCGCAGCGAATACGAATATAACGTCCGAAATTGATCGAAGCTATAAATGATCGGAGGACCGCGGAAGGAATAAATGTAACAAATCGCGCTACTTTCGTCGTAGGCGCACGTCGCTCGGAGTGAAAAGACGACAAGAGTGTCGGGTTTCTGGCGGAACCAGTCGCGAACGTTCCGCCCATATTTGGGACACATTTTTTTACGCGACAAGGCACAGCGCGACCGCGCAACGGTCGCGACGTCCCACGCACTCCTCCTTGAAGGATGCAGCCACATGATTCATCCAGAATGACTGTTTTTTTTTAAAGACGGCTCTAACGGTTCAGCATCCGAATACAATGCGCCGTTCGCCGATTCATCGATACGCACCCGAGAGAATCAGGCGATCCTTTTCAGCGTCGTAAAAAAAAGATTAAAGTTCGCATAACGGCGCAGATTTAAAAAGAAATGTAAAAAGGTTGGAAATTAAAAAATAATAATAATTGCATAAAGAACAATCAAAATATTTTTTGGAGATTAGATAATATTTTGAGGAAACGTTTCCTTCGATTTTTCTTTAAATGTTATTTAAATTAGTGACAAATTATGTTAAAAAATGTGTATTGCGAAGCAGTTTATTTTCATTGAAATATTTCAGAAAAGACATTGAAAAATTAATTATAATAGTGACAATACGTTCATAAAAAGCAAACTAAGAACGAGTATTAAGATATATATTATAAACAAAATTAATGACTAAATAAGAAGGTGTGAAAGATTGATCTCAAAATTAATGATAATTATTGATTATTAATATATTCTAATAAAATTTCAATCGATATTTAAATTTAGTTAGAGTAACTGTCCCTATTAGTGTGCTTTTATATTTAAATAAGTTATAAAAATAAACTGATACAAATAAATAAAGTATTTTTTTTATTAAGTTAATACTTTAACTTAATAAAAAAAATAGTTTATCTGTTTATTTGTACCAATTTATTTAAGTTAATACTTTAACTTAATAAAAAAATACTTTGTCTATTTATCTGTACCAGTTTATTTAAGTTAATACTTTAACTTAATAAAAAAACTGCTTTGTTTATTTGTACCAGTTTATTTTTTACTTATTTAAATATAAAAGCACACTAATAGGGACAGTTACCCTAATAATGCCTTCAAAAAATTAACGATAATAATATCTATTTTAGCACTATACTTTCCACAATTACAGTAAACCAAAGAGAGAATTTTTCACAAATAGAAACAAAGCATAGGCAATTAAAAAAAAATGAGACAAATGGATCGGGCGACGTGTGTGACGTGTGAGCAGTCGCCGAGTTTAATCGCGGGAACGTTCTCGTGAGTGCACACGGCAACGATACAGTATACAGCGTCGGCAACGTTCAGCGGTTCAAACGAGCCAATGGGAGCAACGCGGCCGACGGCGCCACCGGCAAGCCAATAGGGTAGCCGCGCCAGCGACGGTTCGGTTCAGTCTCGCCGACGTTCGGCCGCCATCGGCGACTCGAATCACTCGAATGCCGCACAAAGACGCCGCGCGATAAAAGCGGCGTACGGAGCGACCGGTTCGGTATACACACACGGCAACTCGGTTCGGCCTGACCGGTCGTGTCGGCGTTGTTATATTCGGTTGTATCTGCGTGCGGACGAGCGAGTTTACACCCGTGCGATTCGTGAACCGGCTGACCCGTCGTCGTACGAGTGTCGAGAGAGAGAGAGAGAGAGCAGCGTTTCTTCGTGAGAGAAGGATAAACAGAGAGACACGCAGGTAAACGTTTTCCCTTCGTCCTTTTTCCGCGACGCAAACAAAGAGAGACGCCGCCGACCTTCGCGCCACGATTTATCGAAGGGACGCGACGCGACGCGTCGCAACGCGTCGCATCTGCTCCTCTCCGAGATTTTGATCGAACGATCATGATTGTATCGTCACTCGGCGATCTCGTGCTGCATTTTACTGACCGTTCGAGACGGCGAGGTTTTGTGATGTGTGCCGTTTATTGCTCCTCGAATTAGGTAAACAGCACGACGCGGCGGTTATCAATAGTTTTCGAGCGATGATGACAGGAAATCATGGCGGAACGTTTGTAAATAAAAGTGTTAGGCCTTTGTTTACCTCTATTGAGGTATTAATTCGATTAGATTGGGCTGATGTAAAGATTGTTTTACAGTTAAACCTTTAATTTGTGAAATTTATGAACTAAAATTATATATTTTACAAGTTAATTGTGGTTCTATTCGATATTTATTCGATAAATTCGCGATGGACAAGGAT